TTTCATACGATATTATTGGCATTATTAATTAATTAGCATGATACTTCATTTCGTAATTTTTACAATATTATTCTCCAATTATATATATGTATATTACAAAGAAAAAGGGCAAACAAAAATATTATTGAAATCAAAATTAAATTACAATTAATATTATTTAATAGTTTCTCAATAGCAAACAAATAAATTGTTTATACATAAATATTATTTTTATGCATTTATACTTTCTATTTACTAAACTATACGAATATTGTCATATTTATGCAAATAAATTGAATATTTTTTTTTATATTTGTTGCAATATCAATTTGATTTTCAACTGAAATATATATATACCTATATATTCAATTATAATTAATTTAATGTTATAATAAAGAAAGAGTTCCGACATCATTTTTAACATTATATTGTACATAACATTTCAATAAACAATTAATTTATGACAATAAAATAATTTATTTGTATATAATATTAGACGCCATAGATACGAGTACCAAATTCTCATTTTAATAATATTTAATATGGAATGAACAAAAATATGATTATGTATACTGTACATAGTGTGATAATATTGCAAAGATCATGTTGCATATTTATTTTGAACAATTTAATAATTTCAATTAATTTTTCGCTAATAATTATTAATTAATAATAAAATTTTCGACAATATATATTAGTTTATAAAATTTACTAATAATTTAATTAAAATTCAAGAAATTAAAATTTTTTGTATTACAATTCTGTTCATGTTTAAAATTTATTCATATTACACGGTTGTATCTCTTTGCGCCGTATTTTATGCAATTTCTGTTATATGAAATTCTCGCATGCTATAAACTTCGATTTTTATTTTAAGCTTTATATTAAGAGATTTTATAATGTAATTTAATACTGTTGTGTGCATAATATTCACAATATTAAGAGTTGATATTAACAACATTATTATAAATTATAAAATTATCAAATTATTACAAAAAAAATCTTAATTTTTGAAGTGAAAACTTAATATGGAAGCCAATGATGTCACATATTTTTCATATCAAAACAAAAAAATTTAATTGATTCCGAAATCAAAAATATTTTTACAATTGTTAAAATAAAATTTTAATGTCTCAATTTCATAAACATATGTAGATATTCGGTTTGACAATCAATTTAAAATCATAATTTAATTTAATTTTATTAAACTTTTCAATTCAATTTTTATTTTTATTATTCTTAATCGAAAGAGAAATGCTTATTTATTCCAAAAATAATATGATCACATGATATATGTATAATATATGGTATACATATAAATAATAAATTTTAAATTCATCATAACAGCAGCTCAAATTCATAAATTTCAAATAATTTTATTTTAACAGCAAACTAATGTAAATACTCTTATTTCATAATTATTAAGTAAAGGACTTTTAGGTTAATACAGGTATATTATATATAAATATAAGAATATTCATATATTATATTAATTTATAGGGTATATTAACATAATTTATTCGCATTAACAACAATAATATAACAAATTATTGTAGAAGAAAATTTAAAATTAGCATTTATAAGTGAGATATGCCAATTAAAAATTGTTTTTAATTAATATTTTAATATTTAAATGAAAATTAAAAAATTCTAATACTTTTACAATCATGTTAATTTCTCCTATAATAAAGAATTAAGATACTGCTAGTGTTATCTGGTTCTTGTTTCCAAAATTCCTTTGAACTTTCTATTATACTTTTATATTAAATGTTAAATTAATATATGATAATTATATTGTATTCGAAAATTTTTAACAGCAAACTATTTTATTGTTTAAAAATATTGAATAATTAAATATTAATTGAAATACTAATTAAAATACATTCATGCAACTGAAAATAATCATGAAACTTAACACATATGTTTCAACACAAAACTATTACTGCAATATGCAACAGATTAAAAACACTATTCAATAACAACTATAAAAAAACATATTAAATAACATAATTAAATTAAAATCTGAAAATATAATAAAAATTATATTTTTGTAATATTTTATATACAAATACAATTAAAAGTGACATATTGTTATACATATTTATATATGAAGGGTGATAATATTTATTAAAATTAAATGTTTAAATAGAAATAAAAAAAAAAAAATTTCATCACTTCAAAATTGATATAAAATTTGATTTAAAATAATTGATAATTTTTTTGTTATATTATACACAGTAAACTCTCTGCACACATGATCTATCAAAAAGATTTGTTTCGTAGAATAAAATTTTATAGATTTTCTTATAAAACACAACAAATTCATGTTGTACAATTCAAAAATTGAATTATTTTTGAGAAATTAGCATAAGCGACAAAATTGAAAATTTAAATACAAAAAGATTTAATAAATATAATAAACTTTAAATTAGTTTTATTTCATAAAAAAATTTCAATATTTTCTATGATGTTCGAGAAATAATTTTATCTGCTATCACCATCATCATCATCATCATCATTTCGATTATAATACAATGTACTATCGTAATATCAATTAGGTTACAATTCATTTGAAATGAATTTTGTCTCGTATATGATGGTAATTTAAAATCAGAACAGTAATCCTGCGAGAATAGCAGTACAGTAATTATAAAAGAGAAATTTAGTTGTTGTGAGAGAAATTTTAGTGTTTTCACAAAATAATGTTGTATAGAATATTAAATATGATTGAAAATCATGTAATATACGCAGAACATTGAAATATAAGAATTATATTAAAAAAAACTGTAATTATTAATATACAAAATTGTATAATATATTTATATTTATATATGCATACATATACTTGTAAATAAATATAAAATCTATACATTTTGTGTGAATATTTCTTGTACATATTCTAATACCAACAAGAAAAAAAATAAATCAATCTAGCTCTTTATTATTTTTCTTATTATTTTATAAGTCTACATATATATATTTTTTTATTATTTTAAATCAAAAAAAAAAATTTATTTAACAAATTAGCTTTGATATGAAAAAATACAAATTGTTATGTTTTTTGTTTGTTGTTATTATTCTTATTATTTTCAAAGTGTGATTCTTTTCTTGATTTGATATACACAATAAATAAATTTGCTATAAAAAGAAAAATTTCTATCAACTCGAATTCACTCTTACTCTTGATTTTGGAAGTTAATAACTAAAAATATTTTATAAAAAAAAATTAACTTAGCTAATCAAAAAAGAAAAAAATAAAAAATTATAATTTTTGAAATAAAATTTTAAAATTGATTAAATTTCCTAATTGTAATTAATAAAAAATTTTAATTAGTTATTTGAATCGATTATATAAAATATAATTATATCGGAAATAAATCTACATAATTAGATGAAAGTTAATTAAAGACTAATTAATATTAAGAACAAATTAACCAAATAAAATACCAAATAATTATTTGAAAAAAAAATACATATATTTTTAAAATTTAGCAAAAAAAAAAAATATTTACAAAAAATTTTTAATTTTATTGAATTTTATAAATTATTATCAAGAAAACAACCAAAACAAAAAAATTTAAAAATGGAAAAATTTGAATTAGAAAATACAAGTGATTTATTGAGTAGTGATGGAGAATTAAAAGATATTAATTATAATTATTTTAATAAAAATGATATTGAAAATGATATACCCTTAAAAGAGGATATTCCAGAAGCAGAAAAACCTTTTCAAAATGATACCGGTGTTCTTGATGGAATATCAGCAAAACAAAAAGAAGCTTTGGTTCGAATTATTGCAAAATTTATTAGGTATTATAAAATATTTTTTAAGTAATTTAAATTTAATTAATTGTGGTCTTTTCCTACTACCCCGCTCCAATTATATACAATTTCTTAGAATTTTTTTGATATTATATGAAAAATAGGATTTTCCACCAAAAAATTAAGAGGAAAAACAAAAATTAAAATGTATTTAATGCGAAATTCGAATTTAATTCGAATTCTAATTCGAATTTATTAAAATAATTGAGATTATTTTTTTTACGATATTAGCAAATTGCTAATATCGTAAAAAAATATGTTTATCGTAAGTGATTAAAATTATAATTATAAAGAAAAACATCATTACGTACAAATGAATCATGTGCGCAATACATTTTTTTTTTTAATTTTTACGATATAAATTATTTTGTTACGATATATACATATCTAGACTGAATTACTATGTAAATATATTCCAAACATTTCCAAACACAAATTATTTAAAAAAAAATTTAAATTTTGTTCTTTTATACTTAATTATAAATATTTTCATAATTATTAAATTAAATGAAAAGACTTAGTTATTGAAATTAATATTTGAATCTAACTCCACCGTGTTGGCATATAAAATTTAGAACATGAATGAGAATTTTATTTATGGTATTTTTACGATTACGAAAATTTTAAATATATATACATATTGGAGAGTAAAGCATACTATAATTTCGTATAATAGTATATCAGTTTAATTGATGATATACTTTATTTTTAGCAAACTATAATGAGTAGTATTCATATCACGTGTTAAATATTTATGTTTTTCGCCCGATTATAGAAAAAATTAAATAAAATTAATTCTTTCACACCAAAATATTTGTGATAACCTAAAATTATGCAATATTATTATACAAATAGCAATAGCTATTTCTTAGCTAAAATGATATGAATTTTGAGTACATATGCATAAGAAATTAATAATTATAAATGAAATCAAAATAAGTCAAAATTTCAAAATATAAATTTTGTAATCTGTTGATTACTGATGATTAATGAGTTACAAAATAATTTATAATAATAAGTAAAAAAAATTTTACAGTCATGTAAAAAATTTTAAATTTTTTGATGACTGCATAGCTAGTAACATAGCAAGTGTTCGAAATATTTACACTTATAATTTATAATTTTATAACTAACTTATATATATATATATTAAATTTTTATATAAATTTAAAATTTTATTTTAAATTAAATTTTTATAGAGAACATAATCGTGATGAAAGATTAATTATTGAAACTATTGATGGTCGAAGTGGAGAATATGTAAACGTATTCCTGTAATAAATTCTATATTCTATTATAAATATACGTAGCTTTATTTAAAAATTACATCAATTAATATTTTATTGTAATTTTGTCCCTATAATCATATTAAAGTATAAATATGTAAATTTAACAGACTAAATAATTAGAAATATTGTATATTTTACTAAAACTTTGCACTTTATATATTTACTTATTTATTTTCAAATGTACCTACGCAAAAACTAACCAACTATATGAAACAAAATTACCTGACCTTTTAAGTATTTAGTATAATTACTACAATTATCCAGATTGTAAAATGCTAATAAATAATTGAAATAATGTGCATGCTATAAAATTTTCTTCTGCAAATATTGATTAAATTTCTAAATATTCAAATTTGTCTTAATAAATTTTTGCACAAAATTTAAGAAATTACAATGGCTTTTCCTGGTCCCATTAATTTATTAAAAAAATATTTAAAATATACCCATTTATTTATTTAAAAATTTTTTCATAATTATTATGTAAAATACCCTCCTCATAGAGTTGAAATTAAAATTTATATATAAGTAAATAATAATTAAAATTTTTAAATGAAATTAAATTTTCTTGTGTCTAATATTTAAAAATTAAAATATTTAAAATTATTTATTTGCAAAAACCAAAGGATTTATAAAAGAAATTAATAGAAAATTATATTTTTCAATAATTTTAATTACAGCTATCATAAACGATTTTATTCAGTGAGGCCGTGAGTAATAATTGATAGCTCTCTCTCTTTCTATATACATTATTTTTTAAACTGTGCTTATATAACAATATGTTTTGTAAATTTTTATTTAATTATTTTACGTATATTAAAACTCTATTTATATTCTGTTTTATAGTAAACTATATAAATTTATTATATTTGCTATTCATTTTCATTATACATTAATTAAAATGTATAAATTTTAATTTTATTTTTGAATTTAAAATAATAAGAATAATTCCATTTTGATTTTAATTTTATAATTTAATAAATTTAATCTGTTATATAATCAGTATTCCTCAATTTACTTTTATATAATGAGTATATATTTTAATTAGATTTCATTGAAATAAAATTTTAATTTTTAATTATATAAAAATAATATTCGATCACAATATTCGAAATATTTATTTATTTGCTAAGCACTCATTTGAAACTGCATACTCGTATTACACTTTAGTCAAAATTATAAATAAAAAATCGGCTGTAAGTTATTGTCACTATTTAATGAAATTCAAAATTATTTAATAAATTTAATTTGTGTAGTAAAAATAAAAAATTGATTAAATCATGTCTTGTCCAATTATTTTTCACCACAGTTTCTAATAAAAAAAATTGTGTTATGTAGTTGTTACGTAGAAGTAGTTGAAAACACATTGTAGTACTGTAGAATTTAGTTGATAGATTCACGTCAGTAGACATCACGTTATTTTTATACCCGTACGAACGTATGTTCGAAGGGTATACTAAATTTGCCTTACCGTTTGTAACGCTAAGAAATAACGGTGTTAGATATAGACTCAAGTGTATGTTTTTAATCAGCGTCAAATTCTGAGTTGATTTAGCTTTGTCTGTCCGTCCGTCCGTCCGTCCGTCCGTCCGTCCGTCCGTCCGTCCGTCCGTCCGTCCGTCCGAACGATAACTCAAAAACTAATTGAGCTAAGTACACCAAATTTTCACAAATGATTTATTGTAGTAAGTGCCAGAACTCTATTTAAATTGGACATGATCGGGGTACCGGTTCGGGTAGCTGCCATACAACTTCAAAATTATTTTGGCTATATCTCAGAAACTATAAAAGTTATGGTATTGAAATTTCATACAAACGAATATATTAGTAGGGCCAATATGTCACATAAAAGTCGTTGAAATTACTTGGCTCCTTCTGGTACCTGCCATACAACTTCCAAAATTATTTGGCTATATTTCAGAAACTATTAAAGCTATGGTATTGAAATTTCACACAAACGAATATATTGGTAGGGCCAATGTGTCACATAAAAGTCGTTGAAATTACTTGGCTCCTTCTGGTACCTGCCATACAACTTCAAAAGTTATTTGGCTATATCTCAGAAACTATTAAAGCTGTGATATTGAGATTTCACACAAGTGAATATATTAGTAGGGCCGATGTGTTGATAAAATTCGCTAAAATTTCTTGGCTCTTTCTGGTAGCTGCCATACAACATCAATAGTAGTTTGGCACAACCAGTATTTTGAATAACACATAGTACTGAAATTTTGCATAAATTAATATGGTAATACGGCAACTTAAAGTCATAGTCTGCCCCATAGTTAGTTATGGCACATTAGTTATTCGCACATAGGATAACAAATTCGTACGGGTATCATAGAGTTGACAAGGTCAACTCTATTTTTTTTCTCGTTTTTTTTAGTGCACGTTCTTTTGTAATTTTGTGCACGTTACTTATTCTATTTCGTTTTTATTTTTATTAAATTTTAATTTTTAATTTAAAAAATTTTTTTATTCTATTTTATATCTGAAGTCATCGTGAAAAAGAACAGAAAGATGCTGAAGATTTACTCTTTGATATGTTCAAAAGTGATAAGACAACCAATGGTGATGTTATTCCAATGGGAAAATTTTTAGCAGTAAGTTATGCGTGTAAAAATATTTTAATTCCTGGAAAATCTATAAAAAATAAATAAATTTAATAAAAATTAACTATTTCTTCATTTAATTGTAGGCTTTAAAAGCATGCGGAATTCGTAAAACTGATCCAAGAATGCGAGAAATGATGGAAAATCTAAAAAAAGTTCATAAATTATCAAATTATGAAGGAAGCTCTGCAGAAACACAAAAATTAAATCGCGAAACCTTTAAAGCGTAAGATTTATTTTGTTTCTTATCTTGACTCTTTTGGAAAATTTTTACAAGCACTTCTTTCTGTAACCTTTTTATTTAATGTAGTAAATTTAAATTTTAAGAAAAAAACCAATAATAAAATATATTTTATTTTAATATACATAACAGAGTAATCTCAAAAAATATAGTTTTGGTTGCAAGAGCATTCCGTCATCAATTTGTTATACCAGATTTTCAAAGTTTTTGTCATGATATTGAAGATATCTATTGGAAATGTAAAAATAATACAGAAGGTAAAGTTGCAGCATATATACCGCAATTGGCAAGAGTTAATCCGGAACTATTTGGTGTCAGTATATGTACTATTGACGGGCAACGTTATTCAATTGGTGACATTGATATACCATTTACTGTACAGAGTTGCAGTAAACCATTAACATATGCGATTGCTTTAGAACATTTAGGACCTGATGTTGTTCATTCATATGTTGGACAAGAACCAAGTGGTCGTATGTTCAATGAATTGATTTTAGATTATAATAGTAAGTTTATAAATTTTATTAAATTTTTAAATATATATACATATATAACTTTTAAATATTCTTTTTTTTAGAGAAACCCCATAATCCAATGATTAATGCTGGAGCAATATTAACATGTTCTCTTTTACAAACTTTAATTAAACCAGAAATGAATTTAGCAGAAAAATTTGATTTCACTCAACAATGGTTTAAAGTAAATTATATTTAAAATTTAATTTAATTTAAATTGTATTTTATTTTTTTATTATTTCATATAGAATATGGCTGGTGGCGAATATGTTGGTTTTAATAATGCTGTATTTTTATCAGAACGTGAAGCTGCTGACAGAAATTATGCTCTTGGCTTTTATATGAGGGAACATAATTGTTATCCTGAAAAAGCAAACTTGAAAGAAATATTAGATTTTTATTTCCAAGTATGAAAAATATAAAATACAACAAAAATCAATTATAATTTGTTGATAATTCTATAAAATAAATTTTAACTAAATTAAATTTTTTAGTGTTGTTCAATGGAAGCAACTTGTGAAACAATGTCTGTTATAGCTGCAACATTAGCTAACGGAGGTTTGTTGAAATATAACAATATAATAATATTATAAAATTTAAAAATTTTCAATTATTTACATAGGAATTTGTCCGATAACCGAAGAAAAAATTTTAAAACCAAATGTTGTTCGAGATGTTTTATCAATAATGCATTCATGTGGTACATATGATTATTCAGGTCAATTCGCTTTTAAAGTTGGTTTACCAGCCAAATCAGGTGTTTGTGGTGGTATGATGGTAGTTGTTCCGAATGTTATGGGTATTTTTATATGGTCACCACCTTTAGATCAATTAGGTAACAGTTGTAGAGGAATACAATTTTGTGAAGAACTTGTTAAAGTTTTCAATTTTCATCGTTATGATAATCTAAAGCATGTATCGGGTAAAAAAGATCCCCGCAAGCATCGGTATGAAACAAAAGGTTTATCAATTGTAAATTTGTTATTTTCTGCTGCTAGCGGTGATGTGACTGCATTACGTCGACATAAGTTATCTGGAATGGATGTAACGTTAGCTGATTACGATGGACGTACTGCATTACATTTAGCTGCCTCTGAAGGTCACTTAGATTGTGTTAAATTTTTATTAGAAATTTGTCATGTACCACATAACTGTAAAGATCGTTGGGGTAATTCACCAATGGATGAAGCTGAAACATTCGGACACACACGTATTGTTGAATATATTAAACAATATGATGCAGAAATTGGTGCAACTGATGATACAAATAAATCAGAAGTTGTTTCAAACACCCTAACAGCTAATGAGGTATTTTTTAATTAATTTATATGTGAATTCTCAGTTTAAATAATTTTACGTAGAAAACAGTGTTTAGATTATATGTTTACGTAGAATTCGTAGATAAGGTGAAGTAGTTGTATCGTACGCTTTCATTATCATCACTATTTTTCTCTTTTGTTTAATCTAACGCACAAACAGACACTTTTTAAAGCTTAATTTAGTTTCGTTTTATTTTAAATTAACAATTTTATACACTCTGCAAAGTAACCTCTAAAATAATAAAGCGCTTTAAAACAAACAAGCAAATTCAAAAACTGTACATAAAACTTTGATGTACCATTTGAAATTACTTATCAAGAATAAGTAATAAAGACTCGGTTCACAATAAACCTGTTGGTAATTTTTTTGAATCTGCTCAATGTTTAACATAAAAATTAATTTAAACTTTAAATCGGCTTTAAATTTGCATATTTTGATTATATTTTACATAATTTCTCACAACAATTTTTTTTTTTTATGCAAAAACAACAAAGTTACACGAATCTATTATTCTAATTTATAATTTTTTCCTATTTCTTCCTTAAAAAAAAACTTCATCTTCATCTCTAGATTAGGGTAAGATAAATTAGATCGACCCGAGATGTAAAATAGAATTTTTGTATTGAAAATTTCAACATTTTTAGGAGGTAAAATCGATTTCTGATGAAACCGGCAGTACAACATCTACTTTCGAATATGATCGAAGCACAACTTCTAGTCCTATTCCAGGTGATACAGACGAACGAAATAAACCAGGTTTATAGTCATCTGTTAATTTAAAAAATAAGATTTTGAAATTTTTTTTCAAAAAATGAAAGTATTTTTCTTTTTAGAGATATTCATTAATATTATTGATTACATTTTTAATTATATTTTGAATTATATTTTAATGCTGTGCATTTTAATTTTATAAAAGAAGAAAAAATTCTTATCAAAATTAATTTAATTCATAATTATTTTTTAAGTTTTAAAAATTTTAGAAGTACATACATTAATATTTCTATGTACACGTTGTAATTTTATACTGTTCCAAATTGTATAACAAAAGTAAATTCCTTAAAACGAGACAATAATTACATATTTAGTTCTAAAAATTAAGAAACAAAAAATGTTAATAAATTGAAAAATATAAAGTTTGAAAAAATTTAAATATAAATTTTATAAAATTAATGGTAAAATTAATTATACGTACATATTGTTGTTATAGTTAATTACAGTATCGATAAATTTATTTTTTTCTGTTTAATTGATATATTCATTAGAGAAAAAAATAATCAAAGGAAAATAGTGTAAGACAAATATATATCTAGGATGAAAAATATTAAGCTAAATCCGATATTACAAATTTTTCTTCTCAATACACGCATTTATAAAACTAAATTCAATCACAATCTTTAATGATATTCATATATCATATTTGACCAAATTTTAAAATTACCAACATATCTTTTAATAGCATTTGAAAAAATCCATTTTAAAAAGTGAGACTTTAAATAGTTCACAGTCATAATGTATAATCTTCATGTTATTCTAAATCAATACCATACGTATAATAAATAAATCAAATTTTTATTATTTTATAAGTTTATGACAATAATAATTTTAGTTAAATTTAAAATTATGTTCTAGAAAATCGATTAAAACAAAACTTAATCTTTAAAAAGCATAAAAAATAATAAAAAAAACAAAAGTCAATTAACAAATAATATTGAAAAACAAAAATAATGATTTATATATGAATAAAAAATATGCTGTTGCCATTAACTCTGCTGTGCTGTTAAAAAATTTTTACCAAATAGTAAAAATACTATATACACATATAATTATTAAAATTGATTATAATATAAATTTTAATTCATATTACATTTTGTTAATATTAAGTATTTACTCATTATAATATAGTAAATGTTGTATTTTGAGTGATATTATATAAACTTATAAAATAATTATTTAAATAAAACAAGGAATTACATAATTAAGAGTTGAAACTTTAGCAATATTTAAAAATATATAATCATACATATTTATTGTATAAATGGTATTTTTAATTTCTTATATTTTAATTAAAATCTCAATGTATTATTTGATATTTTTTCTATACTATATAATAAAATACATAAATATATATATTTTTTTTTTTGTTTATAATATATTAGTTTATGTGTGGTGAAAAGATAATAAAGAAAATAAAATAAATATACCAATATAAAAAGAAATATTCATTTTGTTTTAAATTCATTTAATATTTTAAATCATTTTTAAAATATATTACCATAACATTTCACAGCCATATGATCTTATTTTCATAAAAGTTCACAAAATTTGTAATCATTGTTAACACATTTAAAGTGCCTTGATACCATACTCAATTGTTAAAAATCACGAATTAAATAAACTGCCAATTTTTTTATTGTGTTACACGTTAAATAAAAATGTTTTATAATGCCATATGAATCTATATAATTTTATGAAAATGTAAACTGGTAATCTGAAAAGCAAGTAACATTTTGATATTCAAAAAGTTTTTCTTACTCTGTAAAAATTAAGACGATTAATGCTAAAATAAAGTAAATGTTTTTGGAAAAAGGCTAAATTGTGATATTTTTATTAAAGGAAAAAGACAATATATTGCACAAAAAAAAAACTATAAAACTTAATTTATTTCTATGTAGTGTTTGTTTTCAATCTTTATAAAACTAAATAACAATCATCTATTTAAACATTAAAAAATACTATATAATAGTATGTAGATAAATATATATACAGATTTTTAAATTTTTTTGCCATTTATTTTTGTAAGTTGTTTTCTGTTTATTTTATCGAAAAATAGTAGTCCTGCATTCTTTTCAATAGATTCTGGTGGTACTTGGAATACTTGTAAAGGAGTTTCATTACTAATAACTTGATTTGGCATAACATAAGCTTCCATTTCTAATTTATTATCTAAAATTGAAGTAAAAAAAAATTATGTATTAGCTATAAATTCTAATATTATATTTTTATTTTAAATATTTGGTTAAATTAATCATCTTTCATATATACCGCTTGTTTCTCCAACTATGACTTTATAAAAATGTGTTGGAACTGCTACATTATTATTTCCTATGACTTGATATTTAACATACATCTTTCCATCATCTTCTTTTTTAGGTAAATAAAGTGGTCCAGTACATACGTATACATTAGGATAAGTTTTTGTTAATTGCCTTACATGAATTTCTAAACGATTCCATGAATCACGATTAAATCCATTTCCTACTTGAGGTGCCATATTACTTAAATAAAATGTTTCATCACAATGTTTTTGATGTTTTCTATGATTGCCAGCAGCAGCCAAATGACCTCGATCAAAACCAGATCTTCGGTAATCAGAATTATCAGATCTAAAAAACTGATGAATACTGGGATCTGGTCGAAAATCACATTTCGAACGATCAACTGATTCATTCTTTTGAATTGATTCTGGTGTTAAATGCTCAAAAACCCAATGTGCAACACGATTTCTTCTATCATAAGATAATACATAATCAGAATAAGATCGAACATTATCTAAACCTGGAAAGCCGTATTTCATTATTTGTGAAACTCGTCCAGGAATCGTTGCAGCATCTTCACCATTTTCAACAGGTGCTGGTACCGCTGCAGATACAGTGGAAAAAATTGGCAAACATGGGGCTGTTTTAAACTGAAGTCAATTATTTGAATAATTTATATTACGTATAAAATATGTTAACCAATTTTTTTAACTAACCTCTTGAAAACTATGGGAGTTGCATTGCAAATCATTCAAAATTTTTCTTTTTTCGAAAAATGTACCTAACAGAAATGATCCACTTGCTATAGTACTTATCAAAAAAGTTTTATTTAAAAGTATTCTATTCATAATTTTTATATGAATAATGTATGATAAAACTAAAAAGCCATTATTTTTTCAACTAAAGAGTAAAATACCTGTGAATGCTATTCAAAACAAATAAACATGATATTTCGCTTTAAATATGACATTTACTTGAAAAAGTTTCGCAAATGTTTTGATTGTGGAACGTAACTGTGTCATATTACATCAATACAACTAATTTAACTATTGTGGCAGCAAATTATTATTTTGAAAATTTTGATATTTGGAAAACCTACAGAGTATCTTAAAATTAACATTATTCTCGATGTTACACAATAAATAAAATAGCAAATAACAATTTATGATATTGTTTCTGTATTACATCTGTTGTTGTTACGTATACATATTTGAAAAATTCATTGGTAAAAAAAAAACGATATTTTAAATTCATCATTATTAATTCAAAACATTAATAAGCTTTATTTTTGTTTTTGGAAAATGAAGAACTGTATAAATGCAAGAGCCTTAAAATAAAAATATAAATTTTTTTTGTCAGCTGTGACAAGAACTGAACATATTGTATACATCTTTCTGTATAAGCAGCACATATCAAATTTTTCGTCACTTATTGTAATTTCATTCATCTAATTTATATTATATACAAAATTTGCTTTAAAAGATAACTCTTTACATAAAAAATAAATTTTAAAATATTGTAGAGTCAGCCAATTGCTTTTAATTTGACACCAAAGCTGCCAAAATATTTTATTCCGACCTAAAACATTTGTCAAAGCTGCCAGTTGTCAAATTTGTTATAACAGAACATTAAACAAAACAAATATGAAAGTCTAATTAGTAATTATACAAAATATTTTGCTTTAAAATTAAAGTGAATTTAAACAAAGGGTGTGATTATTTGCTTCAATAATTAAAAACGAAATCAATTCGCTTTAAATTCCCCGAATATGTAAATTAAATAAAAATTTAAATATTGTGTACAATTTCCAAGCTTAAATAATCTAACAAAAATTTATAAATATAAACAAAACATAAGTTGGCTGTCAATCCACAGTATTTTAAACATCGCGCATCCCCGTTCCCGTTTTCTAAAAACTATTAAAATAATCTAATCACTATTTCACTAGATGCCAATTTCACACACAGACAAATACATTATTATAATATGTACAATCAAACATACATCTTGCCTTACTCAATCTAGATGATACTTTAAGAACTAATTAACAAGAATAGAAGCTAGAAGGCAGAACTATATTGAAGTAATAAGAAGCCAAATTATGTGTATCGATTGATTTTATTTGAAGAGTATCAAATTAATAAAAATCAAAAAGAAAAAAAAAATTATCAAAGAAAATGGATATTGAAAAGTCTGAATTTGAGGATGATGATACAAGTAAGTAATTATAAATAAAAAGAAGTTCGATTTTACTTAAAAATCTAAAACTCAGTTAAATTAAAAATACAAATTTGTAAAACTTAGCAAAATGGCGTCTTTCTTTTCACATTTATGTTTTTTGGATTTTCAAAGCCTAATCAACAATTTTATGTTATATTTTTTTGATAAATCTTAGATTGCTACCAAATAAGTGATGAGGGTGAAGAAGATTATGAAAAAAATGAGGAATCAAATAACAATTCAGACGCGGCTTCTCAGTTTAGTAGAGGGCCATATGAACGAGCATGGACGACAGAAGGTGATTTTATACACATTTACCTATTAATTCGAAATTTCTTTATATTCCAATGCAAATTTTTAAGAATAATGTAAATATTTAATGTTTTAGCAACGAGGGCTTTAATTCATATACGTGGACCAATGGAGGAGGAATTTTCTGAAGGACGAGCTAAACGTACTTTACTTTGGATACAAGTAACAAAACAATTACATAAAATGGGATTTCGGTATAGTGCTGCAAAGGTTCAAAAGAAATGGCATAATATTTTGATAACATATAACAAAAATATTGCCAAAAAAGAAGAAACAGGTACTGTTGCTTGGGAATTCTTCGAAGATATGTATTTATATTTGAAAGGTAAAAAAGCGAAAACCTTCGAATATTTTCCGGAAAAACCAATTAAACAAAAAGTACAACAACAATCGAATTTAGATCATCAAACAGAATTACAACAACAAATGCAACAACAACATCAAATCATTCAAAGACAAAGGTCTCAAGCTAGACAACGATTAGAGCAATCAAAGCACCCTCAATATCGTGAAAAGACTGATTCAATTAGAAGTGCAACGCCTAGAACGTCACAATATTATAATGATTCTTCAAATACAAATGAGGAAGTACAAATGATGGATGAAGAAGATAGTTCCACAAAACGTCCAAATGAAGATGACAATTATGAACAACCAAAGCCAAAGCAACAAAAAAAAATTAATAGTTTCGCTGATTACTTTTATGAACAGCCATTAGATCGGCTACCATTAGAAATTTCACATGTTGAAGGCGCAACTGAAGAACCCAAGTTTGAGAATTTGGATGAAGATCCATTTTCTGACACTGACTGGTGGAGAGATTATTTTAATAAAAAATTAGACACTGAAAAAGAAAAAATTAGTTTACAAAAACAAATGCATCGTGATGTTATGAATTATAACAAAATGTGTTTAATGCAACAAGAAAAAATTGAAAGAATCAAAATTGAAGCTATAAATAATTTAACAGCCACATTACAAAAATTGGTTGAAGTTAAAACTCATAAAAAAATTTAATGAAATTTCCATTTAATTATCATTTCAAAAGATGTTAAATATACTTAAATTGATTTCACTACATAGTTGTAAAATGAAATAATTCTTGATACCTATAAAAAAAATACTTATAATGCCATATAATAAATACATAGGAACATAAATCTCAGAAAATATGTAAATTATCAGTATTAAGACATAGGCAAAAAGACATGATTCTTAAGTCTAATAGGTTAGACCTTAAATTAATTTTAATATATATAAGTATATAATAATATTTACTTTCTGGTAATAAAAAAAAATTGTAAGCATAAATTTTTTTTATTTAAAATATTTAGAACTGAGAAATACAGAATGCTCATCTTCCTTGCTTTATTCTTTGATTTGAATTAGGGTGTGAGGGGATACATTTTGAATTTAATTAAAAATAATAATAATAACCAAAATATGTATTTGTGTACATACATATGTGCTTATATAATATGTAGTTAGGTATAAATATGGCCTGTTATATGTTACTATAAACAGCATTGTTATAATTTAATGATGCAGGAAAATGATTTAAGTATGGGCATTATTCACGCACATATAACAGATATAACTTTTTTAGGCTCTGTTTAAACAATGAACACATCCATTTCTTTTAATTGTAAATTTCAACAAATGCCAAACGCATTCATCCGTTTATTTTTGAATATAATTTTTCCATACCCCTATATTGTCATATTTTTTATTAAAAAGCAAAAAATTAAAAGAGCTAAATAAGCAGCTCATCTAAAATTTTTTTTCAACTCTTTGTTCACAAATTTACTTCTAAAAATAAAAAAATATTTTTGTTATATTTGAAATGATCTGTCACATCCAGAAATATTAGAGCATTTTTTTTTCTTAATTTTTCAAATTTTTCATTCTATTGATTCTATTGATAACAAATTTCAATAAAAGTGCTGAATCTAAATATTTAATTGCTTTAAGGGCAGCGAAGTGTCAATATTTGATTATGTTTATATAATTATGCATATGTAGTTTCGTTGCTTGTAGTTGTAAACGGCTTTTATTTGTCATTTTCACATTTGTTTTGTTTTAAATTCAATTGACAATTCGCCAAGAGGAAAATATAACCCGCGTAAAAGAAATAAAATTAAAAATAAAAATGACTTCTACCTTAGACGATAAATCTAAACGCTTAAAAAATATTAAAGAAATATCTGAGCTGGATGTGTAAGTTCGTTTGAATTATTTGCCGATATTCCATTATATTCATTTAAATCCATAATTTTCACATGCATAATTGATTCTAAAAAGCCTTTGACTTCAGTCTGTATTTAATATTTTAATTTTTCTAGCACCGATTGGAAAAGAGTTTGGCAATTAGTATCTGGTATTCATTATAGTACATCAGAATCTTTAGTTAAAGAATCACTATTTGAAAAAAGTAAAGAAATACAAGATGGATTATTCCAATTTAAAAAGCCGAAAACTTTTAACAATGATGACTTAGAAAAACTTTTAAAAAGTTTGAAACAAGAAAAATTATTGCCGTTTACAACTAAACTGCAATATATTTTGGTAAGGCTCTCAATATTTTATGATAGTAGGTAGGAAAGACATGTTTAATGAATTTTTTCGAAATGTTTTCCTTTTTTCAGGACTTAGAACCTGCACAATGTTGGGATGTCTTATGCTATTATTTGGCCAAAGAGTTTCGTGGCACAGCTAATTCGTTACCACTGCTGACAGCCACTGAATCAAATATGACCAAATTTTTAGATGACATTTGGCGATATTATACACTGCAAAGAATGGTCTTTCTGAAATTAGTTAAAAATCTTTTGGAATTTTATCAAAATCAATATCACCCGTATCATGAACAATACAAAGAAATTTTAGATAAAATTACATTAGAAAAATTAAAAACGTCCTATTTAAAGCAACTTGAATTTCTAATTAAAGAAACACCTCCGTTGAAATTAACAGGGGGAGAGTTTTGGAATTATCAAGCAAAATTATGTGATTGGAATGAAAGAAATTGCAAAGAGACTATTGAAATACTTCATATACTTATATTAATTGTACATTTCGTTGGAGTTACAGTGGAGGAAGTTACGCAGTTGATGGAATACTTTAAAATGCATTCATTTGGAAGGCAACAGCGCTTCTTGAATGAATCAAATGAATTACATTTACAACTAATAAGAAAAATTGGATATAGTGAAATAATTTTATTTATGAAGTGTATTGATGTATCACAGAAGTACTTTAAAAATTATTTAATTTATTCCAAATTAATACACGAATTTTTTTTTTAGAGATACTGATTCAGCTTGGATATATAATGTTATAAAAAATTTAGATGAAAGTATAACTTCTATAAAACATGGACCATCCTCAAGTCAACTTTGTCCAGAACATGGTCCTCTTTTATTATCATGGATGCTATTTAATTTTCGTGTTATTGATTCTGAAACAGATGATATCGCAACGAGGAAATTCAGGCAATATGGGGGAAAAGCTGTTCAGTTAGATGTTTTTAATAGTTTTAAAAATATAGTCACACATCAAATGTTTGAAGATGACAGTTTAATAAGTAGGGTTGCTAGAAAAACAGTTTACAATTATTTAAATCATTTATGTGAATTATTCGATGATGGTTCAATTGGAAAACATAATGGAGTTTATGATTTATTGAGTGAGCTTTTGCACACGCCGTTGATAGCAAAACATTTTGTGCAGAATGAAGGTGTTATACTTTGTTAATTTAAAGAGTTCTTATAATTTTAACTAATTTTTTTTCATTTTAGATTGTGGAATTAGATCGCTATATACTGGGTTACTGGAAAATTTTCCTATTGATTTTTACAGTATTAGCAAAATATTTTTAGCCCTTTCAAAAGCCGGGAAATATAATTTTGTTAAGGAACAATTTCAGCAGTTGCCAATTTATACAGAATTTTATGATGAATGTAAACATAAATTAATGCCATTAGGTAATGATGAATATATAACTACTCAACCGTATACGCCATTTAAAGGAATTGATTACGTTATTCCAATTAAAACCAGTGCAGCGATTTTAAGCCACGATAATGGTGCTTTTGTTCATTTCAGAATCCCTGTCAATTATTTTGATGTCTTACAAAATGAAATGAATAATCTTTTGAGTTACGTTACACAATATGTTGAAATTGATGTAAATCGGTTTAAAAACATTAACGCTGGGGTCGAATATTTATCTTTTGTGATAAGTAAGATTGAAAAACCTCAAGATATAGCACCAGAAATGGTATTTCCAACGGAAATGTGTATTGATATTTTAAATAAATTTAAGAATATATTTAATCCTCCTATCGAATTATTAGCAAATTGTCTAAATGTGTGTACATCTTTACTTAGCAATTTCAAAAATGAAATTTCATCTCGTATTGCTAATTTAAATATTTTGCCATCAGTGACGAGTGAAAATTTGGATTTTATCAAATATGCACAAGGAGTCAGTTTTGATTCAAATATAGTTGGAACATATTTGATCAATTATGAACGCAAAATTGAAAAATACGATTTTTTAATATCTTATATAAACTTTCTTAAAGAATATTCTAACATAAATATGGAACAGGTACGTTTGGCCTAAAAGTATTTGTCACAATTAAATTACAAAAATTTTTTTTTCCTTTTTTTTCATAGGTTGTCCCAAACAATTTGTTTGTATTTGAAATTCCGGGTTTAATATTTCTTTTGCGGGAAGTGTTTCCTCATTTGCATTCATGGAGATTCAGATCATCTTTTGAAAGAAATCGAATTTACAAAGAAACATTGGAATACTTCTGTGAAATTTTGAACATACATATAAAAAACTCAGAAATAACAAACCAGAATTCAAAGAAAATTTTGAAAGACATTTGCATATATAATCTTCTAAATTCAGATAATGGAATAGCATTACTTAAGTATGTTATCGATAAAAAAATTATCGTAGGACTGAGTTAACAATTACATTATTTTTTTCAGATTTATTGCAATAGGCAATCCTTTCTTACAAATGTCTATGGAAATGGAAGCAAATTGGTTAAGTTCTTCCTCTTGTGGGGTAATACGTTTAGTTAGATTATCGATGAAAATCTTAATGCATTTACTTCGATTAAAGTCTTCATTGTTTAATCAAAATGGATTATCTCCACTTGAAAGCTTGATATATGCGCAACCTAAACAAAGGGATACCCTTAGAATCATACCAGTCGTTACAAGTTATATTAATAACATTTTCGACAGATCCTTACCAATACTGTCCTGTCGATTGTTGAGACGAATCGCTCTTGAATTCAATATGTCTTTATTAGCATGCCTTGATATGGAACCAGATCAAATACGGTTAATATTTTTACAAAGTTTGCCAGATGATTTAGAGTCAGACGATCTAAAAATAGCAATATTGGAGTTTGTTGAAGCATGTATTGAAAAGCAACCAGGTTTAACAGAAGCATTTTTTAAAATTAATAATGAAAAAGAAAAAAGGATTTTTGCTCCGAAAAAGGAGTTTAACATTGCAGATAGTATAGTGTTCTTCATGGAAATTTATCTTTCGAGTGTTCTAGAAACTCCAGAGATAATTGAAAATGATATTCCAACAAGAATAATGTCATTATTTCATTCTCTTTGGAAAAGTGGAAGACAAATTTTAGTGAAAAATTTGTTAGAACAGAAAACTTTTTGGAATTCATTGTGTAGCCCGTTGTTCGCAAAACAATTCAAACCTAAAATAAAAGCTTACAACCAAATTTTAAACATTTTGGGTATGGAAATATTTATAAGTTCATCAGAAAATAATGTTGATGAAAGTTTACAGAAAGTTATTGATAAATTTTTTGAAAAATCTTTCTTCGAAAAGTGGACTAAATTTGTTTTTGATTTGCCAAAGATTTGTGTTGAGGATTATATTGCCGACGAAACCCCAGATTGGCTGTGTCGTCTTCAGTCATTTAAGGAATTCATTGTAATTATTCTAAAAAAAAATCTAAAGGATTTTGAAATTCCAAATTCACAAAAAAAATTTTTAGCTATGAAGACTTTGGAAATTTTAGGTAAAATTCACATTTTTAAATTTTTTAAACAAATCAAAATGTAATATTATTTACTTAACTTTTAGTTCAAAGGTCGGAATATACTGATGATCTCAGGCCGTTTGTCATTCTTTCAGAACTGTATTTAATAGTTTTAAATAGTTTTAACCACACTTATACTCAAAATTTACACGAAGATCAGGAAATGCTTACATTTACAACGAAATTACTTAACAATTTATCTATTTGCTACGAAGATTTGCACATTAGAGCTAAAATGTCCTGTTTAGCGATAACCATCAAAGCAGCAGATTTATTAGCTACTGAATTGACAAAGGATATTCACAATGCTTTAAATTTCCTTTATCCTATAGTCAATATAATATGTTATGAGCTTAGTGATTTAGAAAAAACTGTGAGAATTGAGTTGCATGATAAAACGGCCGGCTACAACCGGAAAGAGAATCAAGAAACGCAGTCTCAAAAGTGTAATTTTAATGATGAAAATACACCCTTAATATTGAGTTTAAATTTATTAAAGACAATTGCAAGTATTTTTCATGATGAAGGTCCTTCGAACTGGGATACTCCATTTCATTCAAACCGCGTGTTCAATAGGTTGCTGAGTTGCACTGCATGGATTATTCAACTAAATTCTAAACATAAATTATCAATTGAACTCTTGGATGTTTTAATAGTATTTGCTAAAGGAAATTGTTCACACGAATTTTTATACTGTGACATTGGAGATTACTTATGGTTAAAACTTATTCCACCAAAGGAACTCACAGAAAATAATTATATGATGCAGCAGAACCTAATGAAACCGAATCAAAACAGATGGCTGGTTGAAAATTGGTGGCCAATATATTCTAGAGGAATTGAATTAGTGACTATATTATTAGAGAAACACCGTTATCAGTTTTTAAAAGATGTTTTATTGTTTGTTGGAATTCACGAAGAATACTTAATGGATTGTATTTTTTTGGCGAAACAATCTTTGGAACCAAGAGCTATGGCATTGATTAAGAATGTGATTTACATGATATGCCTTCTATCAGAATATGAAAGTGAATGGCAGTTAGATCACCAGCAAAGTTTATATAATTTAAAGGTATTAAATACATAAAGTGCTGTTGTCACTTTTATTCTCTATACTGGTAATAAAATTTTTACTTTTACTTTTAGAAAAGTGTTCAGTTTCTGTTAGGACATTTAATATCACTGTTTAATCAACAAAGAAATCTTAGAAGACTGATGCAAGGTGTTAACGTACAAATAGATCCAATCAAAGAACTTAATAACACATACTTTCCTGACGACATAGTAATTATATTAAATGAGTAAGTAGTGGATACCTAACTATTTGATTTGGTTTTAGTAAAAATAACAACTCTTTTTATAGGCTTGTTGAGATAGTAGCAGTTTGTGCCAAATGTTTATTAAATTTCAGTCCCAATTTATTGAATTTCATATGTGAACCGCAATTTTTAATATCAAAGTGGGAGTTCATATTTGACATACAATTTGGACCACCCAAGTTGAATGATTACAGCAATCAATTAACTTTTGGTACGGTTTTAAATATTGTTGGAATTTTAACAAAATCACTAAACTTAGTAAGTAAAACAGTTTTTCTTATTCTCATAGTCCGTTTAATTTTGTTCTATATTTTCTTTAAATAAATTTAGCAAAACAGTTATGGTTTCAATGAAATTCCTTTGAATGAAATCCCCGAGAATATCACGGAAACTCAATCAACACGATCTGTATCTTCTAGTGAAAAAAATTGTTCAACTAGGGTACACTTTAACAAATCCATGTCTATAGCATCGGTTACATCATCTGTTACTGCTCCACCGAATGAAATTCTTTCAAATTTAGATGGAGAATTGTGTCAAATGGCTTTAGAAAAAGTTCTAACTTTAATTGCTTGTCAAACTTTTCTTGCATTAAGAAATACAAATTTATCTAATAGAGAAAAACAATTAATACGACGTGAAATAACAACTGAATTAATAACTTTTCATGAATTTGTAAGAAAAAAAGTTTTAAATGATTTTCGTGACCATCGCGATATATGGCATCGTAAAAAACGAGGAATAATGATGATGCAAATAAATACAACAAGTAACAATGGAGAAGAAAAGTCTTCGACAAAGAAAAAATCAAGTGCTTCAACAAAAATTTCTTCAAGTGGTACATCAAAACCATCAATGAGAGTTGATGTTGTTCGACGACAACATTTACAACATCATTTACAAAATTTGAATTCTGGAAAACAAAAACAAACTTTCGATATGTCGGTAAATTTAAGTCCTATAATTCAGAAATCAGATAAATTAAGTAACCCAAGTTCTTCAACTCCCCATATTGGTAAATCTACAGTACGTAAAACATCTTTTGACGATAGTTCTATTAAAGTAATTTGTACAGAAAGACCAACACATGATGAAGAAAACGAAGAAGAAATTCAATACATTGAACCAATTGAACCTCGATATACACCATTATCATATGTTCAATTGGTTGAAGAAGATTATTTGCATTTCCTTTCAAACATTTTTCATGTAATTTGTCAAAATGATTAGTTTTAAAAAATGAAAAATTATATCAAAAAAAAAAAAACATATTTTTTGCTAAGTGGAAAATTTTAAATTTAATAAATAAAGAATTGTAATTTTTATTTTAGTTGTTTTTCCATTTTTTCGGAAATATTTATTTAAATAGGAAAGTAGAAGGCGCCAAATAACAAGTTAGTTATATACAAAATGGGAGGGGAGTTAAATGACCGTAGGTATTATGTTCAATTTATAAAAATGATAAAACAAAATTATCAAAATAATGAAATTAATCAAATGGGAACTGATCAGTTTTGGAACTTTAAATTCTTTTTTGTTACAATTTAGAATTTTTAAATTCCACTCTTTTTAAGTGAATTAAAAAATTGTTGACCTAAAAACTTAACTTCTAAAACTTTCTTTAAGAAATCAAAGTGACAAAAATCAAAAATTATGGTATCATACACATCAAAAATCAAAAGTTGTGGTTAAGACGGTATCATACTACATACAGGAGTGATGAAAAAAGTCAAAGTTGTATTTCATATTTTACTTTTAATTTTCTTTATTAAATAGCTAGTACATACTTGATTCATCTATTTACATTGTTAATTTATTTTTAAATTAAAATTATTTCTTTTTAGCACATATCGAACATAAAGCTATATAATAATTAAAGATCATTCCTTCTTGTTTCCTTAATTTATGTGTATGTAATTATATTAAGGTTTGTTAACAATAAGCACTTATTTTATCTATTTAGAAAATAATTAAGAAAACTTTGGCGTAACAAAATTCTAGCTTTTCTTCTAAACTTAAACTCATAATATAAGTATTTTATTTTAATAAGAGATTTAAAAATTAATTAAATAATATACAATTTTGTTAAATTGATTTGTATGATTTTACAGAGGGAAATGAAAAATTTTTAGCTACAATGAATTAATTTTAAAAAACTTTTTGCATTTAATTTTGAAGTTTTTGTGTTCAAATTGCACAGAAAAAAAAATTAAGGAAATATTTGAAATATTTGCAGAAACCATAGAATAAACCAGATTTAATTTAATTTTTGAAATAGAAAGCAAATGTTATAGATAATCATAAACTTATCTTTGAAATTAGTTAAAATAATTATCGCTAATTTGTAGACTAAAATTTTCTATTACTAAATTTATGATTTTGTTTCACATACATTTATGCTTTCAAATACAGTTTAAAATTAATATTTTATAAATAATTTATTTAAATAAATTTAAACAATAATTTTTAACATACAATCTTATTATGTGTTCTATATATTTACATTAAATATTTTTTTATAAGGCACATCCGCTTTTTTTTTTGTAATATTTTACGTTAAAATATAAACTTCCATTGGACGGACTGTTTTGATCTTTTGATTACCATTGATTATTTATGGGCCTATAATTGACAATTTACTTATATCTATCAAGTCTTGATTCATTTTTCATACAAATAACTTAAAATTTAATTAAAACTTAATAAAAGAAAATAGATTATTGAATTAAATAAAATAAAATGAGAAAGGAAGCACAAGTAAAATTATAAAGCACAAGTTTTACAAAAATTTTTCAAATTAAAAGTATGGCTAAGTAGTTCTTAAGAAAATATAATTTTCTAAGTAATAATTTTTAAAACTAAAAAATTTAAAATTCAATACTACTTACATATTTTATAAATATTGAAATTTAACATACAAATTTTAATGAGACAATAGAATGACAGTACTATACAATTATTAATATTGTATAATTAAAATAATATTTACAATAATATTAAATTACATTGTTGTTTCAGAATCTGGTGGTGTATGATAATTTAAATTATATGCAGGTGGTCCATTATTTAAAAATGCCATAGATCTCATACTTTCTCTAGATGCTGATCTTCGACTTTGTAATATAATTTGTGGTTGAGATTGTATTATACTAGAACTAGGTGAAACAGGTGATGGTGGTGGTAATTCATGTTGATTATGTTGCACTTGTGATGAACCAATCGATTGCTGTTGCTGTAAATGTACTTGATATTGTTGTTGATGTTGTTGATAATGTTGACTAGTACCATTATATAAGTTTGTATTACTTGCACTATTACTTATATTACTAGAACCATTTCTATTATTATTACTATTACTATTACAACCACCAGTAATACCAGCAAAAACATTTTCTGTAGTTGGATTATATGAACTTAATGGTCTTGCACCATGAAAATTTGAATAACTTGATCTAACTGATGGTGGTCTATTATTATATAAATCATCGATATGTTCATTATCATTTGTTGTTAAATTTGATGTAGAATGTTGATATGTTGGATTATAATGTCCACCGATACTGTTACCAGAATTGTTATTACCATTATTTAATGATACACTATTATTATTATTATTATTAAATGATATATGATTTGGTGGAGGTGATGGTAAAATTGGTGATGGACTATTATTTTCTAAATTCCATGATGTTGGAGATGGTAATTGAACTGGACTACCATTCATATTATAATAAATTGGATCTGGTGGTATATTTTTTGTGAAACTTTTATAATTTGTTGCTTGACGATTTAATATTGAATTAGCTATAATTTCATTATTTAAACTTTGTAAATTTGATGCGGTTAATGTTAAATTTTCAGTATGTGTAAAACTTGCAAATTGTGGCTTATTTGTTAATATATGTGCATTATGTTGATGATGTTGTAAATTATGCTGTTGATGTTGTTGTTGTTGTTGTTGCTGTTGTTCAATTAATTTTGTAACTGGATTTTGTTGATGAAATTTACGTCTTGAATTTCTTGTACTATTACGGCCAGTTGTACCAGAATTACTACTGCTACCATTATTTGAGCTACTACGTCTACTTGTTGTTGATTGTCTACCATTTGATCCTCTTGTTAATGATCTTCTTTTAACTCGTCTTGGTGTCATAGGTTTTGGACTTAAACCACTACGATCATCAATTGGATCATCATAGTCTAATATTGTATCGGTTCGTCTACGTAACGTATCAATTGGTGTTCCATATTCAATTGAATATAATGATTGCCTATGTTTAGATTTTTTACTACCGGCAGTCACTATATTTAATAAATAAAGAGAGAGAGAGAGAAAAAACAGTATTTAATATAAAAAATTGAGTAAATATTTTGTTTCAAAGATAAAGCAAAAAAAAAAAGCTTACCACAGCATTTTGTTTTTATTTTTAATTATTTTAGTTGTTCTTAAAATATTTTGGATTTTTTTTTAGATACACAAAACAAAAATTTATATTTAATTTTTTAATTATAAAATAATAAGCTTCTTACGATGTTCAATTTTAAATTAAATTTTTTTTTTTATTTTCTCAACGTATCGTGCTAAGCTGGTTGAGAACAGTTTTCAATATTAATTTCTTATTAATAGCTACCTATTATAAATTAGACAAATTTTTATTATACTAGCTTCCCATTTTATTTATTTAAGGCGTATCTAAATTTTTATCATTTGCTCGTATAGAGAGCATTTATGTTTTTTCATTTCCCGCCGATATTTGCTCACACACTTAATTTATCTCAATATTTGACTTACATAAAAGTATGCATATACAAATTAAAATTCCAGCATTGTAAAGCGTATATGGCAATACTATTTAAGAGAATTAATTATTTTGTATTTATTTTTTTACAATCAACCGGCCTCGAGTAATTCAAACTAGAATTATTGATTTTATAAATTGTAGACCTGCATCTGGTCAACTTTGCCTTCAGTCTTTATTTAAAATTTCCAAAATAAAATTTGTGGTAAACTTTTTTCTTTTTTTAATAAAAATTTTCTAATTATTATAAAATTTTTTATTTTAAAGAAATCAATAAACCAAAAGTGCAGAAATAAAAAATAAAAACCAAAAATTAAAATTTATTAATTAAATATTTTGAAAACAATATTGAAAAAGAATATTAATAATTATTAACTTTTAATACTGCCTTTTCTGTTTTAGAAAACAGAAACAAAATTTACAATAAAAATAAAAAAAAAAAAAATACCCAAACTCCGATTGTATTACAAGAAATTTTATTAGTCACCTCTTTTTTAAAATATTAAAAACAATTGAAAAATAACTTAAAAGAAACTAAAATAATATTGTCATACTATGTTTTTTTTTAATTTTATTAAGTATTTTAGGATAATTTGAAGGCCTCCCCCCCCCAAGACCGAGTTTAATGGCTGTACAAAAATAAAAATAAAAAAAAACTTTCAATTACGGTTTCATTCAATTCAATTTCTATATTATTTTTTTTATGCATATACGTAAATCTGTTGTGCTCTTAGATTTTTGGAAGGCCATGTCGCAACCGGTTAAAAATATATGAAGGAATATTGAAGAATTTCAATATTCCTTCATATATTTGAAAAAATCAAAATTTTTCTTAAAATCTGACCTAAAATGATAATTTTTTTTTTTTGTTGAATTTTAATAATTCTAACTCCTGAAATTTAATTTAAATATTGGACCATTGTATATACATATGTTCTTTCACCTTTAATTTTTAATCAAACTGACATTTATTAAATGTGAAACAGTAAAATGAAAATGAAAGCCTAAATTCGAAAATGTAGCAAAATTGTTACTTATTAACATTTAATTAAGCTTAAACACATAAATTGCTCAATTTTATGTAGCAATTTACAGCATTCTAGAACACAAATTAGAAATTAATTTACTAAATTAATTTTCGTCATATGGTCAATAAATAAATACGAGTATACCGTAACAACTACAAATATTGGCACCTTTATATTTTTTATACAACTATAATTATATTTCACAATGAGTACAGCATTTTACTCCTTATTTTTTGTTTTTATTAAAAAATTGGAAAGAAATTTTTCGAATTACCTGTCTTTTGAAATGCATGAATAACTTTTTATCTATACGTAAGTAGCTATACGTAAGTAGCTGCAGCAATATGAATAATTAAACGTCTATCTAGTTCTTTAAGACAAAAAAAAAACTTAGAACTTGCAATTAAATATTTCGACAGTGTCATAAAAATTATAGCTCCTAAGGTGCCAA